GCAGCCCGCCAGGGGGGTTGCACCCGCCAGGGGGGTCGCAGCCCGCCAGGGAGGTCGCAGCCCGCCAGGGGGGGAGGGGGGTCGCAGCCCCGAGGGGGGTCGCGCCCGCCAGGGGGGTCGCGCCCGCCAGGGGGGTCGCACCCGCCAGGGGGGTCGCGCCCGCCAGGGGGGTTGCACCCGCCAGGGGGGTGCACCCGCCAGGGGGGTCGCACCCGCCAGGGGGGTCGCAGCCCGCCAGGGGGGTCGCGCCCGCCAGGGGGTCGCACAGGGGGGTGCCCGCCAGGGGGGTTGCACCCGCCAGGGGGGTCGCAGCCCGCCCAGGGGGGTTGCCACCCGCCAGGGGGGTTGCGCCCGCCAGCCAGGGCGGTTGCACCCGCCAGGGGGGTTGCGCCCGCCAGGGGGGTCGCAGCCCGCCAGGGGGGTTGCACCCGCCAGGGGGGTTGCGCCCGCCAGGGGGTGCACCCGCCAGGGGGGGGGTTCGCAGCCCGCCAGGGGGGTTGCGCCCGCCAGGGGGGTCGCGCACCCGCCAGGGGGGTTGCACCCGCCAGGGGGTTGCGCCCGCCAGGGGGGTTGCGCCCGCCAGGGGGGTTGCACCCGCCAGGGGGGTTGCACCCGCCAGGGGGGTTGCACCCGCCAGGGGGGTCGCACCCGCCAGGGGGGTTGCGCCCGCCAGGGGGGTTGCACCCGCCAGGGGGGTTGCACCCGCCAGGGGGGTTGCGCCCGCCAGGGGGGTTGCACCCGCCAGGGGGGTTGCGCCCGCCAGGGGGGTTGCCAGGGGGGTTGCACCCGCCAGGGGGGTTGCACCCGCCAGGGGGGTCGCGCCCGCCAGGGGGGTTGCACCCGCCAGGGGGGTTGCGCCGCCAGGGGGGTTGCACCCGCCAGGGGGGTTGCGCCCGCCAGGGGGTTGGCGCACCCGCCAGGGGGGTTGTCGCAGCCCGCCAGGGGGTGCAGCCCGCCAGGGGGGTTGCACCCGCCCCGCCAGGGGGGTTGCGCCCGCCAGGGGGGTTGCACCCGCCAGGGGGGTTGCGCCCGCCAGGGGGGTTGCGCCCGCCAGGGGGGTTGCGCCCGCCAGGGGGGTTGCACCCGCCAGGGGGGTTGCACCCGCCAGGGGGGTTGCACCCGCCAGGGGGTTGCACCCGCCAGGGGGTTGCACCCGCCAGGGGGGTTGCACCCGCCAGGGGGGTTGCACCCGCCAGGGGGGTTGCACCCGCCAGGGGGGTTGCACCCGCCAGGGGGGTTCGCGCCCGCCAGGGGGGTTGCACCCGCCAGGGGGGTTGCGCCCGCCAGGGGGGTTGCACCCGCCAGGGGGGTTGCACCCGCCAGGGGGGTTGCACCCGCCAGGGGGGTTGCGCCCGCCAGGGGGGTTGCACCCGGGGGGTTGCACCCGCCAGGGGGGTTGCACCCGCCAGGGGGGTTGCGCCCGCCAGGGGGGTTGCACCCGCCAGGGGGGTTGCACCCGCCAGGGGGGTTGCGCCGCCAGCGGGGTTGCGCCCGCCAGGGGGGTTCAGGGGGGTTGCGCCCGCCAGGAGGGTTGCACCCGCCATGGGGGTTGCACCCGGCAGGGGGGTTGCACCCGCCAGGGGGGTTGCGCCCGCCAGGGGGGTTGCACCCGCCGGGAGGGTTGCACCCGCCAGGGGGGTTGCGCCCGCCAGGGGGGTTGCACCCGCCAGGGGGGTTGCGCCCGCCAGGGGGGTTGCGCCCGCCAGGGGGGGTGCACCCGCGAGGGGGGTCGCGCCCGCCAGGGGGGTCGCACCCGCGAGGGGGGTCGCACCCGCGAGGGGGGTCGCACCCGCCAGGGGGGTCACAGCCCGCGAGGGGGGTCGCGCCCGCCAGGGGGGTCGCAGCCCGCCAGGGGGGTCGCAGCCCGCCAGAGGGGTTCGGTTCGGTTCCTGTCGGTTCGGTTCAGGGGCCGCCCGGTTCCGGTTCGGTTCCGGTACTGGTTCGGTTCGGTCTTCGCCGGTTCGGTTCTGAATGAATTCGGTTCGGTCCGGTTCGGTTTTCTACGTTCCTGGTTTTGGACCGGTTCGGTCCGGTTCGGTCACGGTTCTCGGTTCTCGGTTCGGTGCGGTCCCTTCATGCTTTCAATTGGTCGCAGTCGTGTTGGAAGGGACTGAATATGGTAATTTTCCCTTCAGTTGGATGGCAGCCGTGGGAGGAATAATTGGAAGCACGGGGGGGGGACCCCCCCGCGCCAAGCTGGCTGGCGGGCACCTCTTCAACGGCGGGCCCAACGGGGCCAGGCTGAAGCAGCCAATCTTTCGCCGAGATTAGATCCGTTGGCGGGTTACCCGGCAATGATCATGACATAATTTCGGGGTCGCCCGCTTGCGCATCGAGATCAGTAGCGCGATGGAAAGATGTCTTGGCAGGGTCGAGGGCTGAGAGTCGACGCGTCTCGACTCCACCGCGTCTCAATTTAATCCCGGCCCGCGGGACGTTCAACAACTCGCGGCTGTCAGGCTCGTGGGCCCACGCGCGAACGGAGGCGAAAACGATGGCAGATTTATGTTCGATCTTGCGCGCGCGGAGCCGCAGATGGCTAGAACCAATGCGGTGGGGGATTTTGAGGGGGGCAAGGGCATCGAGACTCGATCCCAGGAAGAAGACGACGGGGCGACTTTCGACCTGGCCACTGGTCACTCCTCCGCGATTGCCGCCAACGCGTCGGCGTCCGCTGCAAAGGGCGCTGCGCGCCAGCGCATGTCGGACTGCTTGAAGCAAGGGGGGGGGGGGGGGCAGCGGTGCCGTGGATCCCCTCGAATGTTGCCAGATGTGTTGATCATTTCTGGGGTACAAGGACCACCGATCATTTCCGAGATGTGCGACCTTCTAGGGTTATAGGGATTATTCGAGAATGCGTTGCCAGATATTACGGGACAACGTTATGTTGTTTCCCCTGGCAACGCGGTCGATCTGGAGACTCCGCTCGGATCAGAACATTGCCCCAGGCAAAGGAGAAAGACGCCAATGCACTAGTCGCGGACATAAGACAAGCGGTCATAAACTTGTAGAGCGATGCATCATTGATTTGGCGTTCAACCTCAGCTCCAAGGCGAGGAACGCTTCGCGATCGATCCAGGAGTGCACTCGTGAGTTCAAGGTTCAAGTGAAATGGGGCGAAGAAGCGACCGGCGATGACGCCGAATGGTGGAGTGATTGATTGCCAAATATGATGAGAATGCAGTTGCGATTGCTTTCGTAATTTCGCGAGCATACAGAGAACGCGGAAGTCTTGGCGTCGGTTCAACCAATATCGGGGACCTAATATACGTCGATGAGGTCGTCGGCTCAGCTGGCGGCGGCATTGGCCTTCGAGCCCAGGCCCCGCCGAGCGCTGTTGACGCGGCGCCCGCGGCGGCCGCCAGCGGGGTTCCCGCGGCCGCCAGTTTGGCGTCGCTCAATGCCATGGAGGATGCTGAGGACGCTGCTGGCTCAGCCAGCAGCGTCGTGCTCAGAGAGAAGAGAAACGCAGGGCCATGGGAAACAATGTCTCCAGGGCCTAGGGCGAGCGCCGCCTCCAGTTCAGCCGGCGACCAACAACTTTGCATCCGGGGCGCCGCGCCGCTGCCGGCCGCGCCGACTTTGACCGCTGATGGGCGGGATCTCCGCCGGCAGTCGTCTGGGCAGCCGCCGCCTCGCTCCGCGCCGCCCGCGCAGCCGTCGGCGCTGGCGAGGAGCCGCGGCCCGCTCGACGGCGCGGCGCCGTGCCCGACCAGGTCCCCCGCCGCTCCAAGAACGCGCGGGGGGCGGGCCGATGTCGCGCATAACGAGGCAGACGAATTATGGGCAGCAAACGCACCGCCGGTAGCCTCTGCGACCAAGGCTTCCGCCGCGTAGCGTCGGGCCAGCTCTGCAATGCACGGGGGGCATGGCGCCGCGGAGGCTGGCCGCTGGGATGTCTCTCAGCGTTGTCATGTGGGCGACGGTGATCACTGGGTCTACAATGTAAACGAACAGAGGTGGCAATGCTGGTACGCGCGCGGCTACAATCTGTTTGGTATCGGCCACAATCAAGACACCGTTAATGAGCGCAAAGGAGAAGGCGAGGCTGGTTCAACCAGCGTTGGCCCGACCTCCTGCGCAAGATCAAGACAAATATTCTGATCCTGGACATTCGCATTCGGATTTGATTTCGGTGCGCTGTTGAAGCGTGGGATACGTTGGTCTATTTCGGCCCTCTTCATGAGCTCCCGCGATCGTGGCCGTTGCTTTGCCCCGTGCGCCGTGAACTTGTTTCTGGGCGTTGGCGCCAAGAGGGCCACGGCGCCCGCGGGCGACGCGAACCCGAGGAACTCCGAAGAGAGCTGAAACTCTGAGCCTGCGCATCCCGCCGCAGGGGGATTTGTTGAACCTCTTCCTCCGCCGTCTCTGCGCCGCCGCCGCCGCCGCTCGCTGCCGTTGCGCCATGCTGCGCTTCCGAAGTTATTTTGCTCGTGGCCAAGTGGGAACCGCGGGCCCACCTTCGCGCGGGAAAAAAACGGAGCCCGCGTCGTGTCGTCGCCGTAGCGTCGTCTCCTCATTCCCGTGCACATATCACATACATGTCAGCTTAACGGACACTGCGATTATGTCGTTCCCCACATTTGCGGGGGAGTGCGTTCCCCAGGCAAATAACCGGAGGAAGATCTGGGAGCGAGAACGGGGCCATGCCACGAGGCCAGGCCACGGCAGAACGACGCCAGGTCATTTCGGCTGCAGTGTACAGGCGCAGGCAAATAGCAGGCAATCGTTCGAGTTAGCCAGTCGCCTGGCACTGGCGCGCCTGACGTGGCTCGCCAGGTCCGCGGGGTCAGGCGAGCAGCAAGCAGCAATCAGACAGCAGTGCATGGCGAGGGGAAACATCAACGCAGCGTGCACCCGAATCGTGTGCATTGTGGCCCGTGAGCAGTTTCGAGTGGCGTGCGTCGCCGCCGTTGTGTTTTGTTTTGATATTGAAATCGATCATGTATTTGTGCCAACGTTGGGGAGGAAACTTGGCGAGAATAATGGAGAAAGGGCATGGGAGAGGAAGGGGTATGCATCATGCAGTAGAGGATGCGGTTCGGAGAGGAAACCGATGAGGAGCATACAGGAGGAACATGGGGGAACGAATGTGGAGGATGAAGAATGAAGAGGGAGGGTGCAGAATATGGGGGGAAGCAGCATAGAGCTGGAATATGAAGGGTGCTAGCGGAAAATGAATACGGATCATGGAATACGGAGGGAACTGTGGAGCAATGCTGAGGATTAACAACGTGGAGGAGGAAGTTGGGAAACGAACGCGTCGAAGGAATACGGTGGATAACCGTGGAGGAGGGATTTGAGCAGGACGATGGAAGAGGAACGCGCAGGAACAACACGGGAAATCATGGATGATGAAGGAGGAGGCGGCAGATGAATAAACATGGAGGAGGAATGTGGAAGAGGAACATGGATGGGAGATGGGGGAGGAGTGCGGAGGAACAGAAGAAACGGCTGTGTTTTCCGAAGCCGCGCATGCCATTCACCTCATGACAGGCGCCCAGACGAACTCCAGATGCCGACCCACCCACTAACCAACGCCATCAACGAGGGCACGTATGCCGACGTTCGCCTCGAGCGGCACTAACAAGCAGCCGCCCAACCGCACGCAAAAATGACCAGCAGCATCAACAGGCCCAACACAAAACGAAGTACAGCGGCGCGAAACAAATCACAATTGCCAATACATCAAAGCCCGACACCACCGAATACATGTTGTGAGTACAAGCCTAGAGCAACGCCCGCGAACCGACCGTAGATGAAAAGGTGGTCACCCAACACCCACAATGTCCGCAAACCCAGAACTGCAACATACCCCTTGGAGGCGAGAACAAGAAATATGGCAGCTCAAAGCTCCAATGGATGAGTAAAGAACATTGCATCAACAACAGTCTTAAACATGAATACTACGTACACCTCGCGCCGCAAGCCGACGTGCTGCAAGACCCTCAAGTGGTATCCCATGGGCACACGGCATAGCCCGCCACGGAGCCGAACATGCATGAGACCAACTCGCCCACGATGGGGACAGCTACGCCTAGCGATACCAGAGACACTGACGCCAACGAAGGAGACCTCAGCCAACGCGGTACGATTTCCAGACCCCCTGAGTAAAAACAGCCTCAGGCAAACGCGATGAGCATCCAACAAACGACTACGAATATCGGCAAGAGATATGCTGAACCCGGCCCGTCCCAGCGTTCAACACTATGAAGAAGATCTCCTTGGCGGCGCTCAAGCATGCACGCAAAATGGTGCAGCCCTTGAGCCAGATGGCTTGAACCCAAATGGCTACCGAGAAGGAGGCGGATGATGAAGAGCAGGACGAGGAGGTGAAGCTTTTGTTAGTGGTGTTCGGCGGCCTTTGTTAGGTTTCGGAATGTTTCGGAGGATGTTGGAGAGGATGCGGAAATTATCTGAATCGGCAGCGAGCGAGGGGGGAGTGAAAAGGGGAAGGCCTTCTCAGAAGGTTCGGAGGTCACCCGGTCTTCTGAGAAATATTTTAAGCCTTTCCCGAAGACAGACAAAAATTTCCCAGACAGCGCGAGGCCTTCTGAGAAGTCCCGCCGCCTTCTGAGAAGGCCTTCTCCTTCACATTTTCCCCCCTAGCTCGCCGCCGACTGAATCTCCTGTCTGGTTTGATATGTTTCGCTCGGGTTCGGGAGCTGTTCGTAGGAAGCGCTGGCAGGTCACAGTGATCGTCTCTGTGCGCCGCTTCGGGCCCCCGAGATTTTCGTGCATCGATCTGGCATGCAAGAACAAGTAAGGTCGGGGCCCATGCCAAGAAACACGCTGCTTGCCTCCAGGGTGCCCTGGGCTTCTTGGGTTTAGATGGTTTTGCTATGGGAAGCGTGACGCTCCCACACGAAAAATCAATAGAGTTCCTGGGGTCTCAGTGGAAGGTTTCTTGTGGTCGGGCCCCTACTGTGAGTCTACGTGTGTCTGCGTGTGCGCAAATGTGGTCGAGAGGTCGGTCGTCATTGGCCGTGATGATCCCACGGTGTCGGAAGCCTGACCCCTGAGGAGATTTTGGCGATTCGGGTCTGAGCTGTTTCTCCAGAGACCTCGAGCCTTCTTCTCTAAGGCTGTCGCCTCGCCTTGGCCTCTCCCGCTTGCCGCCCAGAGGTCTTCCACTACATCAGCAACGGCAGCGACGTCGTTGCCGAGCCGCAGTTCGACCGGGCCTTCGCGCTGCACCGGGTGTCCGTGGCGGCCAAGGCCTGCATGTTGCGCCTCCGCGCACGGAACGACAACCGCACCGAGGCCTGGATGGGCTTGAGCGTGGGGGGCACGGATGTGTCCACCATGCTGGAGAACTGTTCCTTGGACACGGGCCGTGCGATGGGCGTGGACGCGACCGCCATCATGGACTTCCTCCAGAATCTGGATGGGCAGGCGGGCTTCAGCCAGGAGGAGTTCGACGCCGCCTGGGACGAGGTGGAGGTGTGCCCCGCCGGGCACTTTAGGAGCCAGCGGGACAAAAAGTTACCGATGCCGCTCCTCCCAAGACCTCGCCAGGGGCGCGTTCTGATCAGAATTCCGAGGGGAGTCCAGCCGTGGCGACGAGGGCTCTCCAGGACGAGCAGCGGCATCGGTACATTGGAGACCCATGCCGAGAAACACCCTGCCTGCCTCCAATGTGCACTGGGTTTCCTGGGTTTCGATGGTTTTGCTACGAAAGGCTTGATGCTCCCACACCAAAAATCAATGGACGTCCTGGGGTCTCAGGGTTGGGTTTCCTGGTCTCTTGCGGAAGGTTTCTGGTGGACTGGCCTCCACTGAATAGGTACTTTTTCTCAGGAGGGAAAAAAAAAACACAGACACAATTAATCGTCGATTCCCTAGAAAATATGGGAAAATATGGTAAGTGGGGGGGAAGACAAAAACCCAGAAAATATGGGGATGATTTTTTATTTGTGTGTATTTATTTGTGTGTCCCAGGGCCCCTTCATTTTCTTTCTCTGAGGAACTCTCCCATCGTCTTCCACTGCCACCGGAGCTCTGGCAGGGCCCACTTCGACATGCGGGCGCGCCGCACCCAGGTCGTGACCGACGTGCCCGCGGGCGCCGTCAGTTTGCAGGTGGGCGTGGCCTCCGACCAGGACGTGGACCTGCTCCTGTGGGACGAGGTTCGGGGGGCAACGTTGGGGGGAACGGGCTAAGGGGGGGAGGCTGCATCGAAGACCGATTTCTGACCACACCCACCTCTGGATCCTCGATTCTACGATAGGCCCTCGGGGGTGGAAGTGGGTAGTTGTTCCTTCCCCTGGGGCGGGGAAACTGCCCACCTCCACCTCTGGAAACCGCTTTTCGCAAGGCACCTCGGGAAGTGGGTGTGGTCAGAAATCGGTCTCCTACTGCATCCACCCCCCAATTCGCCCACTGATCGCCGAGAAGGGCTCGAGAGCCCACCTCGCCCAGGACCGTGCGGCTTCTCTGTGAGGGGCCCATCTGGGATCTGTCGGCGATGTGTCCGTCGTCGATTCCATGTCGATGTTTCCCCCCCCTTGAGCTTTTCCCACCCCCTAATTCCGAGGCGGGAATTTATCCATAACCACCGCCGGGGGGGTCGATCTTCGCGGACCTCCACAGGCGGTGGATATGGATATTTTCGGCCCCCCGGGGGCCAAAATATATCCATATCCACCGCCCGCTGGGGCACCAGGACGTCGGTTTCCAGGCGGTGGATACGGATAAATTCCCGCCTCGCACTAATGTTGCCCCTCAGGTGGAGCAGACCTGGGTGGTCAAGTGGGAGGGCGGCGTCGTGTCGGCGAACCAGCCCGTAGGTCAAAGGAAGAAAAGGTACTGATACTGCTGCTCGTCCTGAAGAGCCCTCGTCGCCTCGGCTGGAGTCTCAAGATTCTGGTCAGAAAGCACCCCAGGAGAGGTCTGGAGAGTAGCGGTATCAGTACCTTGTGGTTTGTCCAGTAGGCACCTACCACGGGGTTGAGATCCGCTTCAGCGGCGACGAGACGGAGCCCCCCGTGGTCGAGGAGTCGATCCAGGTCGCTGGGACGCTGCCCGTCCGCCTGCAGGTGCAGGTGAACAACTTCGCGAGCGAGGACGCGGTTGCCGTGGTGGCCTACTCCTGGGATAGGAACTCGGATGAGGAAAAGGTACCAATACCACTACCTTTACCTTGTTTCGCCTTCTTGGGCCTTTGGGGAGGCTCTCGTCCACACGGCTTTATTTACCTCGAACTCCTGGTCAGAGCGCACCTTGGGAGAGGTCCGGGGAGCAGCGGTATCGTTTCCTTTTTACCTACCTCCCCAGGATCGAGGACTGTCCCGCAGCGCCAGAGGGCTGCCTGGCCTACAACGAGACGAGGGCCAGCCTGGCGGCGCGGAGCTTCTCCGCTTGGCTGGCGGACTCGTACAGCTCCGAGAGCGAGGCGTGGGCCGGCGTGTGCGGCAGCTCCGCAGAGAGGTACTTCCGGCAGCAGAAGGCGCTCGGCCTGGAGACGCGCAGCGTGCCATTCTACGCGTGGGCCGAGGTGTGGAAGGCCTGGCCTCACCACGAGCACACCGAGTCCTCGTGGCAGGAGTCGAACACGAAGCAATTGCACACTTCCATCAAAATAAAACTTTGAGAGCTCCGCGCGGATGTCTTGGACTTGCGCTGGGACCCCCCTGGCGGCGCCTCTGGCGCCGCCACTGGCGCCGCCACTGGCGCGCCAGGGAGGGGGGTCCAGCGATGGTCCAGGAACTCCACGCGGACCTCCGAAAGTTTGTGTGCATGCCATGTCTACTTCCTCTGAGGAGGTCTTCCACCTGGCCGACGAGGACAAGTCTGGGGCCGTGGACCAGGCGGAGTTCGGCCTCCTCTACCGGAGGCACGACCGGCTGGCCACGATGGAGCACTTCTTCGAGGAGATGCGCGAGGTGTTCGTGGAGTCCGGCGAGGCGTGCTCCGCCATAGCGGGCGAGGGCGCGCCCAACATTACTCGACGGCGGTGGGACACGGTCCTCGCGGACTTTGCCGACGGCGGCATGCTGCCGGGCGGGCTGCGCATGTGCAGGCCGAGGGCCGCCCCCCTGGAGCACAGCTTTGCATATCTGAAGCCGCTCAGGCTCGGCCGCGCCCACGCGGAGGCTCGAGGATCACAAACGACAGAGACATCGAGTCGGGCCTGTCCCTCTACAGGGGGAATATTCAAAGATAGTAAAAATAGTCTCGGGACTATTTTTGGAATATCTTTTGACCATTTAAGAGTATTGTTTGAGTTCTTTTTTTTTAGAAAAAGAAAGGACTTAGGGGGACACGCCCGACTTAACATAAACATCAACTTTCGGAGGTCCTCGTAGAGTTCTTGGACCCGCGCTGAGCTCCCATCCCCGGCGCGTGCAGCGCGCCAGGGGGAGCCCGGCGCAGATCCAGGAAGTCCGCGCGGAGCTCCGGCAGAGCTCATTTTTCCTCTACAGAGGCGAGGGAAGGCGCTGTCGACGTCGGGCTGGCAGAGGCGAGCGGCATCGTGGGAGGGAGCTTCACCGCCCTTGCGCGAGTCTGGCTGGGGAGCCCGGCGGGCACCGAGGCGGAGTCCTCTGCGGAGGGAGACGAGGCAACCGCGTCCGAGCCGTTCGATTGTGGCGCGGGCTACAACAACTGGGAGGCTGGTTGGTCCACGGGGAAGAAGTCTTGGTGCTGCAAGAATAAGAACCTAGCCTGCCAGTCAGAGCCCTTCGACTGTGATGCGGGCTACAGCAACTGGAAAGCCGGGTGGTCCTGGCCGAAGAAGCAGTGGTGCTGCCAGCATAAGTCCATGGGCTGCGAGCCAGAAAACGAAAACGTGGCGGTCTTCCATACGCCGGAGGCCACGGAGAGGGACTTCCAGAATGCGAGCGCGCTCTTCCTCGGCCTCCGCCGCAGCCACCTTGCTATGGCTTTCGGGAACGATGACTGCCAGGCATCTGGCAGTGTTCCTGGAAATGTCTGGTCCACAGTCGCTTGGATATACGACGCGGAGACACATGAGCAGCGCTTGCACGTCGATGGCAGGACTTGAAGAAGAAAAAACGCAATAAACATAAGTTTGTGGCGCTCCGCTCGGATTTCTTCGATCTGCGCTGGACCCCCCTCCCTGGTGCGTGGAGCGAGCCAGTGGTGGCGCCGGAGGCGCCGCTGGGGGGCCCAGCGCAGATCCACGAAGTCCGCGTGGAGCGCCAAAAGTTAATGTTTATGCTTTTCGCTTATCCTCCTGAGGACCGTCCACATCTGCAAGGGGGTGAAACCCTTCATGGGCAACGGTCAAAAGGTCAAGCTGGGCCCAAGCCCAGGCCTCCTGGGGCCGGATGGGGTGCTGAATTCGCTGCTTCTCTTCCCCTCCGCGTTGTCCGACCCGCAGGTGGCGGAGGTCTTGCGCCAAGCGCCGACGTGGTCCCACCCAGCCGAGCTCTCCTTCAGCCGCCCGGGGGGCAGGGGCGCCCTGCGCGTGGGCTCGGCACTGGACGTCGGCCTTTCGGGTGGCTCTTTCACGGCCAGCATGACGCTTCGGCGTGCAGACTCCCAGCTCGACTCCCCAGACGACACGTACACGATTCTGGGCGCGCCTAGCGACGATTCTTTCGAGGTGGTGGTCTCGAATGGGACCTTGGGCGTCAGCTTTTTCGGCAACCGCTGCTGCTCCCGCACGCCAGTGCCCAAGGAGGAGTGGGTGCACGTGGCCTTCATGTACAACGCGCACGAGGAGGAGCAGCTGATTTACCAGGAGTTCGGATGCAACTCTGTGGAGGTTAGACTCATAATCGGCGCTGTTAGATCCGTGGTCGAAAACTGGCCTCTGATCCCCCTGAATCCGGCTCAATTCACCGAGCGCGTTTCACTATTCGCGAATCGCCTACTCGCAAACGTCCGATACATTATAGATATAGTATATATGTACACACACACACATATATATACATATATATATATATATCGATAGATAGTAAATATGCTCCCCTCCGCCTCATAATGCACTTGCCTCTCCTATTGCCTGCCTTGCCATACCTTGACATTGGTATCACTGTATACCGCAGCTGTGTATCTACTGCTCGAGTGAGAAAAGGGGCGCGCCGGGGGGCGCGTGGGTGGCACGTGTCGTCGTCCGTCCCTGGCCGGCCTCCTCACTTCCCACACTTGAGTGTAGTTGCTTAGCGGATAACTGATAGTTTCATTGATGTCTCACCCCGTATCCTCTACCACTGAGCAGAGTCAACATGACACCTTAATTCCTTTGGCATCTTACCCCGATTTTCAGAGGAAAGACTGGTTATCAGCCGAAACCCGCGACCAAGTCGCAACAGGGATGAGCTATGATGAGACAGCCGAACTGCCCGTCGGATCGCAAGTTGTACAACGTGACGGGCAAGAACACCAGGACAGCGGCCCGGGGAAGGGCCGCCTTCTTCTTCTAACGCCACTCGGATTTCTCGTGGAAGGGGTAAGGGAGGCGTCATAGATTCGTCAGCAGGTGATTCGCCCACTCGCATTCCGATCGGGGATCGTGAACAGACCCCAGACCCGATCAGGCGGGACGGCACAGCAGCAAATGTCAGGCGAAGAGCCTTTTCATCTTGGATTGCTGAATCCTCTGAGACAGTGCATTCCAGCCCGATTGCCATGCGGTCAGTCGAGCCGGCCGCTGGCCTAACCAGTGGGTCGCTCGACGTAGAAGAGTCCAGCGGTGTGTGCCCCACCGTCCCAGACGGATGGGGGCGCACTCAAGGGACTTATCCCATCCCGATAGCCTTGAACGGACAATCCGGTCAAGATAGCGACGAACAGCATGATGATGAAGACGATATAAACTCCATGGAGGAATACATAGAATACGCGAATCATCAAGTGTCACCAAGCCGAGATTTGTCGTTAATGAGCGCCGCTGACCATCCCGCCCCGAGCGGCAAGGATTCCCCTGGGCAGGAGACAGTTGACTACGAACACCTGGAAGCCCTTGGGAAGGCGCTCGCTGAGCCAGACTCAGATACCGTGATCAGTGACCTGCCGCCCCAGGCGGTCGAGGTTGACATGGGCCATCAATATCATGCGAAGCATGACCGGGAGACCACGGGACGAACGCCCGCTCCTCAACACAAGAAGCCCAGGAATTCAGATCACGATTTGAATGATCCCCCGCTTCAGGAAGGGTTTTGTCGACCTGCCCTCGCCGCAGGCGATTGGCAACCGTCGGTGCCCGCGGTAGTTGAGGACGATGAAATGCCCACCCCCCCGGCTTCGCTAAATGAGTTGGTCAGACAAGACGAACGGGATGAGGAGCTTTGAGAGGTGGCCAAGCCACCCGAGAGTACGCACGTCCGTCCTCGATCGTCTGCTTCGAACAGGGGAAGGCCCAAGATGCCACGACGTGGTGCCCGATCGACTTCGAGGAGCAACAGCGCAGTATCCACGCGCGAGGCATGCTGGAACCGGGGGCCCGACTGCCCGCCCCAGGCGGAGAGCAGATGCCCGGGGAAAGCCCACGAACAGGGGGGGCCCTGTAAGCGCCCAGTGTGTGGAAGCTGTTCTGACGTGAGTCCCAATTGTGGCAATCAATGGTTGTGTGAGGATCGCTTCCAGATGGAAGAACATAACTGCTCATGCCTTCTCATCCAAGCCATGCAGGATCAGGCTAGATTTGTCGAGGCCAAGGCTCAGCAAGAAATTGTGGCCCTCGAAGCCCAGAGGGTCGAACGGGCTCGACTGGGCCGAGCAGAAATGAACGCAGTTATTGAGGACGTTCGGAAGAAGTTCGAGGCTGAAAGACTCGCTCTGGCCCAAGCTGCCAGCAAGCGGGAACAAGAGCTGATGGGACGAATGCCCCATCAAACCGCAGCTGCCCAGCAGCGCGCGGCAGAAGAAGCCGAGAACAGAGTTGCTGAGACGATATCCTCTGAACGACAGGCTGCTATGGCAGCGAACAGTCAGTCTGTTGACGCCAAGACCGCATGCGCCGCTGTTGCGGTGGAGAGAATAAAAGGAGAGAGGGCCGCAACAGCCAGGGTACAACATGATAAACAGGAGCTCCAAGAACAACTTCACGCTGCCAGGCTGGAAGTGGCCAATGCCCAGATTGTAGCTGCGACGATAGTTGATCAGAATAATCAGCATCGAGAAGAGCTCAAGTTACATGAAAACGCCAGGGCATCTCTCCAGCGCATGCAGTTAGGCGACGGTGCGTGCCCACCGGCTAAGCCGGCGGGGGCGAGTAGACGACCATCGCCGGCGGCCCAGCCGTCTGGCGCAACGTCCTCGCAGGCCCAGCCTGGCTTGGCGCCCTCGGAGGGCGGAATGCCGGCCCGCGAGAGGGGTTGATGAAGAGAGCTGCTCAATGTGCTCGAATCCGAAAATTGGAGAATGCGCCACTTGTGGATTGCCAAGCTGTAAAGACCACTTTACGCGAGCACCAGGCGGTGTTTCACTTGTGCTCGACGAAAATGCTCGCCCGCAGAACAGGCGGAGTGGGATGAGCAATGGCAAAGACGCAGTGCTGACCACAATTTTCGGGCCCAACGGCAGAAGCTCCTTGATGAATTTAGCGATGGTAAACTTAACATGCAGCGGGTGAAGGAGCAAGCTGAGGAGCATAATTATTAGAATGAGCTCAGAAAGGTCAGTTGCCAACATTCGAGAGAAGGGTGAGGCTCTGGCACGCGCAGTTGCATCAGAGAAAGAGGTGATGGAGCTAAAAGCAATCATCAACGAGTCCTTGAAAGAGAAAGGGCAAAACGCGCAGCATTCGCTGCAATCTGCCGACCGTGAGGCGGCCATGATCGAAAGGGCGAAAGAGATGACGAGATCCATGGGAATGGGATCCTTTCCATATATCGAGAAAGAATTTGATAAACTGCCCAAGTTCAGCCCATTCGACTTGCCTCTGCTTTCGCAAAAGACGCCCGTGAGGCCTACCATGCAACCCCAATACACTGCCCCTGGCCCTGCAACCGAAGGTCAGGCCAAGCCTGGTACCTCCAGGAACGGTGCGCCCATCAACGCGGATTTGACAAGTACCACCGATGACATGAACGGGCCAGCGAAACCGCTGGCGACCCAGCCGCCCGGTGGACATAAAGGTCGCGCGCCGGCGGCCACGCCGCCAGGCGGGGCAGGACAAGACAAGGGTGGGGATGATCATAGCACCGCGCCAAGTACCGAGGTCTTGTCGGCACTCGCTAGCTCCATTCGAGACCAGTCGGAGAAGCCGCCCCCAAGGGGGTCCGGGGAACCTGGATCTCCAGGCGGTGGAGGTGGTCGCGGCGGACCTCAGGGCCCAGGAGGGCCACGTGACCCGGGAGGTCTTGACGAGAGTACCCCTCTAGATCAGCGGAGACAGGTTGGAAACAATTTGAAGGTTGATATGATGGACATTCCTGATGTTACAAACGTGCGGGAGTGGCAGATGCATGCGGTTCGTGCTGTTGCTGGATCGTCTCCTGAGATTCGAGAAGCACAGCTCTGGATCATGGAAGCTATGGACCCTTCTGTGGATCATGAACAGCTCAGAAGCCCGGGTCGCTTCCAACGTCTGGACATCATGGTTGCCGCTAACTTGATTGAGAAGATCAACAAAATGCGTAGGAATCGCGGTCTTTCCACTCATCACATGCACTTCCTTCAACAGATCAATCGCATGGAATACGGCGCCCAGAATGATCAGAGGCTCTTGGCGGGGCGCGAAATGATACGAGCCATTTGTTACTGGTGTTCCGTCAGATCGGAGTTAGGTCAAAATCGCATTCCGCGTGATATTTTCAAGGTAGTCATTGGCCTCAATCGCCCAGATGATGATTTATACCATTCCTGTAATGAGTGGACAGATGTTTATCAGCAACTCTACGGCGTACGACCCCCATCTGATGAGATGAGAGCTTCGATCCATGCACACTTCATCGAGCAGTGCAGGAAGCCGAAGAAGTTGGAGCTTGTTTGCCAACTTTGTGATTTGTCCACGGACAAGCTAGGCGAGGGCATAATAACCTACGAATGGTTCATATCTCAGATCGAATGGATGATGTTGCGTGAGAAGGAAGAATGGAACATCAGTATGCATGAGGGTACTTTGAGCCAACGTGCTCGACAGACGCGGTTGGGCGGTGGTGGAGGCAACGGCAATGAAAACCGCCGAGGTCTCAACGGCAAAGCCGCTGCGGCAGAAGTAGCAGCTCGTCTTGGGAAATCCACGGACGTTATGAAGAGCGGATTGACCAAGGGCGAGTCGACGTGCAAGTTTGTACGTAAGGGCGACACCTGTCCGCATGCAGGTCAGGGATGCCCATTTAATAATAAGAAGCCCAAAGCCGCCGCACCGGCCCAGCTGGTTGCGGGGGCTAAGTCGAATGCTGCCCCGGCTCCGAACTCGAATTCCAGAGGGGGGTCTGAGAAACCTAATGGCGGAGGCCGAAAAGCCCAGAGCCGATCACAGACCCCGACGGGTGGCCGTAGAAGGGGTGCGCAGCAACGGAACAGGAGTCAATCCGATCGTTCAAGTAAAAAACAAAGCAAGTTGCCGTGTTACTCCTACTCACGGGATCCCAAGAACTGCCGTGGGCCTCCAGACGGTTGCTACAGGGAAAACAGAGCCTTGACCGATGCAGAAAAGCTCAAGCGCGACAAGTATGAACAAGCGAAGCTTAATGCAGGACAGACTCTGAGTTATGGGCGCGCAATCAAACAAGCCAGTGCCGCCGCCGCAAATGTCGCTTCATCTGCGGGCGGTGGTGGCCCCAGGGCCAGCGCCAGTTCGGAGAGGCGCAAGAAAGATGGATATAAGAACAAAGGCAGAGACAAATGTAAAGATATGATATGTCGCTCTTTCAAGGAAGCGGGAAAGTGCACGCGTGGAAAGGAATGTTGGCTCGCTCAGACCGCGCCCAACCAT